ATTTTATGGCATAAAACTAACTAAACTCGAATAGAAAATTACAGGCGAGTTTCTATGGAATGAATATGTGCGGTACGTATGGAGAGTATTTGCACGTACATGGTTAAGCATGAGAACATAAATGTACACATAAAGGATATACCCAAACGAAAAATTATTACATTATCTCTAACAAGATTATAGTGGATAAAACTTATAAAATAAATTATTTAAGTAATTATGAAGTGAAAGTAGCAGATTAGTTACTCCTTAGTATGATATCAGTTTCTTTTTCATATGCCATTAAAATGTACCAATACCTCTTTATCTTAATTCTTATCATACATCGGTCACTTCAAGACTTTTGAAACATGTTTCCAAAAATCACTGATAATGGATATCAAGCTTTTACCAAATAAAATTAATTAAAAAAATTTTTGAATTTGAAACCTTTCTCACACTCATCTCTTTCTATTCGAAATAGATTTATTGTGATAGGACAAAATAGTTTGGATTAAAATATCACATAAAATCTAAAACAGGAAAAAGAATCTTATTGAAGTAATATATGTAGATGACATAACCTTACCAGTCTATTGTTACGCCTTTGGCAGTTTTGTACGGCTTTTCCTGGGTGTTATCCAATCAGCTGATTGCACAATGTAGTGGTGGATCCATGTTTCATATAATGTTTGGCATTTTATATGACGGCAACAGCTCCAAATAGCTCTCTGAATTATAGATGTTGTTTTTGATAATCTATGTGTAAACGCAACACCCATTTTGAAAGTAACTTTCTCTTAGATACATGTTTATAAAAACTAAACTCCACGCTTTCTTTTGATATGTTTAGAGTATCAGCTATCTCCTGCTTCAGTTTTCAAAATCATTTTGTGGACTTATATGTGCATCATCTCGGTCTGCGAGGTCACATTTAAAATCTGGAAACAAATTTTCAACGGCAGCACCGCTTAAATAATATTTATTAAGCCAAGCTTTGACTTGAGGTTTAACCTTCAATTGATAAGTGGTTTGCTGTTGATCATCTGGTACATCAACGAAAAATGAGGACGTCCTCTATAGTGTTTTCTACCAGCGGATACCGAATCAAACATCTTTCTATTCGGAGCACACTATACCATTCACACGATATGACTAATCCAGCGAAATCGATAAATTTTTATGCACTTAACTATGTTAGTTTTGACGGTATAGTTCGTACAGTTCATCGTTTAATTTAATTTGATACTCGTTGTCAACATGTTAGATCTTCCATAAATCTTCCGGAGTATTTTCCTATCGAATGTATCTAATGCCTTTTCATCACTGTTGGCTATTATTCAAACCTCTGTATAGACACGATAAGAGACTTGTTGAGCCTGAAAAAGTTTAAGAGACCTCTGTCTTTCGTGAGAGGTTTTTATTTCTCAATTATCCCTACTTAGTCAGAAATAATAACTATTAAAAAGAGAGATTATTTGTTGAATCTCGAGGCTGAAATCTAGAAATGTGACGTTTTTGTTGCTTACACTGGTTCCGAAGTAAACAAAGTTGTTCTTTGAAGTTATAGTTGTCAACAGTAATGTGGGTCCCAAGACGCTCAAAAAATTTTTTGTTAGCAGAAAGTATTTCGAATATTTCTCATTAACTACAACACACATTCGATTCGTTGATTTATCTAAATTGGAAAAAACCACAGTTTTGGTGCGAGTGTTCAGACCAAAAGCATCAATATCGTCGATATACACAATCAGCATGTACGCTTGAAATCTGATTCTGGGATCATCTTTTATATTATTATTTTAAAGAAATGACACGATTTCAAGGAGTTACTCTGTCTAAAACATCGTTCAATATCAAACAGTTTGAAAGGGTTCTTCCCAATTCGAATCGAGGTGCTAGTGTTGGCCAACGTTAATTTACATTTCTAAAAACTTATAGGTATATATATAAGAACTGCCTCACTTAAATAGAAACTCACTGAAACTTTTACAGGGTTTTACAACATTTTTTGTGGGTGTTTATCCAAAACAAACTGTAACCGATAAGTTCACAGCCCACTTGTGATTCCGACAAACCAAATAAAAGATATGAAAACTAAACCGAATAAAAATGGAAACTCTGACATAAACTAAAAATGGAGTTCAACATGGCAACAACATGGACACCAAAACTGATAAACTAAAGCCAAATGGGCAAATGGGCGATTCGATATCTTTTTTGTAGTAAAAATTAAGAACCTAAAAAAAAATCAAAAAAAAAAAATTAATAAATAAAGGAAAAACAAAATTGTATGTATTTTACACTAGTTAGTATCACAGGCAAATCTGAAATATTGTCCTTTGGTCGTTATAAAAGTTGTAACATAAACTACTAAGAGGCGTACTTCGCCCCACTCCCGCCACTGAACAAATGAAACTGGTGAGAATGTATGACCGTAGAATAAACTCGGTTTAAGTTGCAACATCAATGCATGAACTGTGCTAGAAGCGCTGTGATGTTTTGTCATTTATGTCACGTTCGGATTCGTGATTATGATGACGATGATGATTTTGCGTTACGACTGCTCCGGCTGCACGTGAGTATGAGTAACATTTTGGTATTTGCGTTTGCAACTGTGTTTGTTTATCAGTTTGTTTGTCAGTTTGTTTGTTAGCATTTCACGCCATTTTTCTTTTTATTTATGCGCTGCAGCTATAAGGAATTTTCGTGAACGTGTTTTCTAGCTACCCAAGATATAAATTTCTGGATTTTTTTTTGTTTTTGTTTTTTTTTTCATTTTTGCTTTATTTACTGAGCTTCTGTGCTTAGTGTTGGTTTCCAAAACAAAAAAAAAATGAACAAATTTCTATACTTTTAACATTTGAGCACTCGTTATACAAACCAAAGGATAAAAATCTAAACGAGGCTTACGTGTAGAAGAACCACAATAAACAACAACAACAATAAGACAACACAATTGGTTTAGAATAGTAGTAGAACAACAACAACAAATTGGCAATGGCATAACTAAAACGAAGGTTTTTCTTTCCGTATATTCCCGCACCACAAATGAATATGAATGCCTTGCAGAACAAACCAACTAAACTAAAAAGCGAAAAAAGCTCAAATAAAAACCAAAAAAAAAAAAAATATTTAAAATGAAAATGTGAAATGACAACGAAGTAGACAAATCCACAGAGTTAAATGCAAATGTGGAGTGTAGTGAAGTGTAGTAGAGAGGAAAGGTACAAGGCGAGTGAGCTTAAGCAGTTACTACTAGTGCAAATACACATTATATATAGCGTACAAGCAAGAGGCACTCCACATATTGTAAATGTCGAGATTTTATGCCACCCAATATGAAACAACAAACAACAAACGGCAAATAACAAATAACAAACAACTAACAGAAAACAGAAAACAGAGCATATCACGGAAAAGGCAAATCCATTTTTGTATTCGTGCATGTGCTTCGATGTGAACGCTTCACTGCTGACAATAAAATAGAAAAAATCTGCAAAATTCAACATTGCGACACACCTTTCCAAAGTCAACGAGCACAGCGAACACAGCGAACACAATGAACATACGCCGAACACACTGAACATATCGCACGGCCCACACTTAACACATTCAGTGCCATCGGTGA